ATAAATAATAAATATCCTATGACATCTCATGCTTCTAGGACACTATTCCTAACACATTTTTGGCGCTAGAAGGAGGGCCCTAGTGTGATTAACATCCATGGGTTCTCATCGGCACTTAAATTTTTCTATCTCATTGCTAAGTCATTTTCAGGTATGGCGAGCGACCAAGTCTTAAGTGCTCACATACCCATATTGAAGGAACCCAAACAAGGAGACTTGGCGCTAATCCTGAAAGAGCACCACGTGCTCCTCGTCCACCAACACGCACTGATAGGATCGAAGAATGAGTGGACACATTAGTAGGGATGGTGAATCAGCTTATCACTACCAAAAACAGGGTTCGTCTAGTAAAAAACCAACAAAGTGGGCCGGAAATTCTCAGAGTGCTAGGAGTGGGCTTAGCCATCGTCGGAGCCAGCATAATGAAGGTAAGGGTCAATCCAATAGGAATCAACCAAGGGACTTGCCCGAGTCGTAAGAACCACGTCAGGCACCTAGGTGTCGGAATGCTTTGTCACGGATTGGGAGTCATCACAATGTAACTGAAAGAACTAGGACATCAGTGTTTGACAGGATAAAAGCTAACAGTAATAGCGAAAAAGTTGTTAGCACCTGGACACCTGGGTCTGATGATTTCACCACTACTGATTTCCGGGATCGACTCAACGCACGACAGAATGTACGAGCAATTGTACCTATGCCCTTAAACAACCAGGTAACTCAAAACAGGAGTAGGAGGAGAGCCGAAATACCACAATATTCTCGGAGCCAAGTAAATAGGGCGAACCAGAACTGAAACTGACGTGATAATCAAGGAGGCATAAGTCAATCCAACCAGAGCACCCGTGAGGAACAACTCGAGCAGCAACTCGAAATGATGCAAAGATGAATGGATGACATAGAAGCCAACAAGAATTTGCCGGAAGGTGTAAGAGACTTGTTAGATGAAATAGAGCCGCCATTCACTGAGGCCATCATGGCACAGGAAATCCCTACTGATTTCAAGATGATTCCCATCAAGCAGTTTGATGGGAAAGAGAATCCAACAGGACATATACATGGGTATAGCACATGATGCGAATTCGGGGAGCCACACAAGCTCAGATGTGCCAGCATTTTCTTTGATGCTTACTGGGCCAGCGCTTCAATGGTTCCAACAATTAAAGCCAAGGTCAATTAGTTCGTTTAACCAGCTGAAACAACAATTTTTAAGACGATTTGTGATAGCAAAAACTCGCAAGAAAGATAAGCTTTATCTGTACTCCCTTAAGCAAGGCGCTGATGAATCGGTAAAAGCCTACATTGAACGTTTCAGCCAGAAAATGAATTACGTAGAAGGATACACTGATAGTGATGTTGTGGCCGCAATTCGGGGAGGGCTTCAGGAATGTGACTTGTTGAAGTCAATTTGCAAAAAACAACAAAAAACCTTCACTGATCTCATGATCCGAGTTCAGAAGTTCATTAGCGCTGAAAAATACATGTGCAATTGGAGAGGACAATCTCAAACGGATCAATCAAAAAATGATGGAAAGCGGAAGGTAGAAGAAGGATCTAATGGAGGAGAAGCAAAAAAGCAAAAGTCAGAGGCACAACAGGATGTGAACAAATCCAAGATTGCCTTGACGCAAAAGTTCCAAGCTTACACTCCACCAGATACGATAAAGGCCTACACACCCTTGAATACGACATTGGCACAAATTTTAATGCTGATTCAACATCAGAATTTGCTGACACCTCCGGCCCCTATGAAGGGATATTCTAACAAGAGGGATAAAAGTAAATTTTGTCACTTTCATAAGGACCATGGCCATGACACCTCAAGTTGCTTTCAATTAAAAGGACAGATTGAGGCACTTATTCAACAAGGCCAGTGGTAGGAGTTTGTGGACAGAGTGATAGCAGAGAGAAGAACTGCACTCCCGACAACAATGGGAAAACAAGCAACGATCACACAGGAAACGAGTACAACAGTTGGGAATAATTCTGCGCTGAAACTGGTAATTCCATGCGGGCTCGGAACCTGTATGCTCGAGAAGCTAAAAGTCTTGATTGTGGCCAATTTATAAATATGACAGAACATGTTGTAAAATTTACGAAGATGGAGAACATCGCCATAACGTTCATAGAAGAGGAAACATATGAAGATGGCAAGAGAAAGGAATGCAGGAACTGAATGTAAGAAAAATCATAGTGAGAATCTCTGAAGATCGAGTTTCCTAATCTTTATTCTGTAAGTTTCCATGCTTACCTCAATTAGTAGATATTTTGTAAAGTGATCAATATATACACTTCACGAGTCACAAAATCAAAGGAATTGAAGTTGTTTCTCAATGGTGGAGAATCACGCAATGGGCTAGGTTCACAAGTGAACGGGAGGCTTTGGTTTCCCTGCATTAACGTTGGAAGTAATGGAGATAGGTGGAAAATGCCTTAAGGTCGGCCAAAGTCAAAGGCCATGCATAGTTCGGTAATTTAAAAAAAAAGGGATATTCACAGGGATAGGCATGCAGGGAATGTTAGTTGCCAAATTAAAGGTGAGAATGAAGGATTTCAAAGGAAAAAGCTTTAAAGAAAATTAGAAACTTACCAATTTTGAGAAGGATGATGGAAATCGTCACAAAGTGGGATTCAGGGAGTGATTGGGTGATTTGTGTTTAAGATCTTTGAGATATGGGTTATTTTAGAAAAGGAAAGAAATTTTAGAAAATCTTCGTTAAATCTTCGACATTCATGGTATGTTGGAAGGGGGAAAGGAAGTTCGGAAAAAAAAAAAAAAGGGAAAATTTATGGGCAAGTTTTAGTCCCCTTCGCTTGGCGTGCGACACTCGTGGACTGGGGGGCTGATGTTGGGCGGTATTTCCAGAATCATTAAACATGCGATAAATTCAAAGGCTCGTCCGAGCCCAAGCTCTCCCGAGCCCAAGCTGCCCTGAGCCCAAGCTCTCCCGAGCCCAAGCTCCCCCGAGCCCAAGCTCTCCCGAGCCGAAGTGCTCCTGAGCCTAAGCGCTCCCGAGCCCAAGCGCTCCCGAGCCCAAGCTCGCCCGAGCCCAAGCTCGCCCGAGCCCAAGCTCGCCGGAGCCCACGCTCTCCCGAGCCCAAGTTTGCCAGAGCCGAAAGTTCAAAGGTCGCGTGATGTTATCAAGTGAAGTAACTGACGCTAATTGAAGACATTGAATGGTTGAAAGTTAATTCTCACTGATTATTTATCAGTTTTTACTCACAAAAAGGTGAAGAGCCTTATTGTAATTAAGAGAGAATAAACTCTTGAATTAATTGGAGAATTAAACTCCCTCAATCCTAATGTACTATAAATTCCCTCAATTTGAGAGAAAAAGGGGGACACTCATTTTTTTGAATACAATTGCCTTGTGATTGTCTTCATTTTATTATTTTCTTCACATGTTCTTTGTGTTCTTCACGTGTTCTTCTAATTTCCTTAGATAATTTACTTATTCAATTCAAATTATTTGTCTAGGGACGTTGGATAAGTGTTGGACGAAATTTTACTCCAACAAATAATAATAAAAATAAAAAAATAAAAAACTCCATGGCTTTTCAATAATACTAAAAACAAAAATTCTTCAAGCGTATTATAAAATATGAGTTTTACAACTTTGCGGGTATAATTTAAGCATCAATTTTCAAATGAAAAAAAAAGAACAGGTTTTAAATTTTCTGAGTTCTTAAGTTTGAGTTCTTGAATATCGATGAAGTTAGATACACCTAGGGTTCGTTCACTTCGTTAATTCAAGTTAAGATGTGATTTTGTGTGAGAGCTTTTTACTGTAGTAAAAAAGTTAGATGTGACTGTTTCTGAGAGCTTTTTACTGTAGCAAAACTCGAATTCTAAACTCGAATCGGCGAAAAGAACGGGGCCCTAAACTACATGATTCTTCTAAAAGGCTGTTTAGGAACTTTAGGGGTTGTTCTTTTACAACAAAACTCTATAAAAAATTTAAACTCAAGTTACAATTTTATTCAAGTTCACGTTCTTTTAAGTTCCAACTTTATTCAACTTTACTCAACTTTATTCAAATTACAACTTCAACTCAAGTTATAATTCAAATTCAACTAAAAAATTACACTCAAGTTACACTCAAATTACACTCCAAAAGAACAGATCCTTATTCTTCCATATCGTCACGGTCCCAAACTCCGGCAAAATCACAAGAAGTAACTGGTGATTTCACTTTTTTCTGCATCGCAGATCGGTGGTCTGACTTTCATAAGAGCAACTCTGACTATACTACCTATTAGAATTAGCTTTTTTTTTTTACTTCAACTATTAGCTATTTTAAAAAATCTATTTCACTCTAATTAAATATAATTAGTAAGAAATAACAAGTTATTTAGTTTTTTGTATTATTTTATTATTTCAAATCAATAATAAATGTAAATTTTCTTTTAAAATTTAATAAAATTATTTATATTTTTAAACTCAATAAATATTAAAATAATATATACTTAAAAGGAGAATAATTAAAGCTATCACCTAAAAATTAATAGTTATAATAACTTCTTAATCATTTTAATTAAAATTTAAGAAGCAAGAGATACTCTTAAAAGCTTTCCCCCTGTTTTCCTCTTCTTCTGTTGTGTTTGGATGAGCCGTGTGAGAATTAAGCCATGGAAGTATGGAGGATTAATGGAATGGAAGATTGATGTTGGCATGTTGCGGGGTGAAGCCAGAAGGAAGTTTCAGAGATGTTGCTCTTTTTCTCTTATCGGGCCCACCTTTTCTGACCTTACACATTCTTCAAGGAACTTCAAGTTTTTTAATTCCAAAATATTAAGGGCCCGTTCACTTCATGTATCCCACTCGAATACAGCCCACTCGAATTGAATTTTGGGTTGCGTTTTACGTTCATTAACCAAAACTCGAGTGTGAAACTCGAGTAATAACTCTGATTTCAGAGTTTGGCACACCACTCGTTTTTCCATTACTGCAGTGTGCTTCTACAGTGTTTTCATGTGCTTGAACAGTGCAGATTCCTGATTTCTTCCCGTTGCTGCCTCGTTCCTGCCTCCCCAGTGCAGATTTCTCTATGCTTTTTGCCCGCTGGACCCTGGTTCCTGCCTCCCCCTTCTAATTTCACTCTGAAAAAAGCTATTGTCTGCAGATTTTTAGAGTGAAAATTGACTCTCTCCATTGGGGGAAGGTTACTCGAATCGGTTACTTTGTCGATCCGCAGCGAAAAAAGGTAAACCTCTCCCCTATTTCCACCATTTTTGCTTCGATTTCTTGTTGCATGCCCAACCCTAGAAGTGTTCCCCGCCCCTGCCCTTGAATCTTCATCACGGATACCATTCATCCGCCTCGATGCAACCGGCAAACTCCGTTGGCCGTCTTATTGCGTCGATGTAGAGTCAAACGGAAGAATCTTGCATCTACTGGTTATCTTCCGTTGAGAGGTTACCATCGGCGGTTCCGGTGTCAAGCCGTCGTACGCGCTGCCTCACGATCGCGTTTGGGGGTTTTGATAGACGATAAGCCTTTGTCCTCAACTGGTTCCAACCGGGTATGATATTTCACAACTACTAATCTCCTATATACCATTATTTGTTCTGGATTTGTCATGATCGCACCGTAGTTCTTCTTCGTTTTCACTGATTTGATGCTGAGATATTGGTTGTCGTTTGCATTGTGATGGAAACGTGAGACATATTCCTTGTCGTTTGTATTGTGATGCTAATGTGTAGTGAGACCACTGTTGTCGTTCGCAGTCACGATGTTCTCTTACTTGTTGTCGTATTGCCTCAACTGTTGTCGTTTGTCCCTGTGGCTATTGCATCCCCTGTTCTCGTATTGCCTTGGCTGTTGTCGTTTTTACCTTAGCTTGTTTATTCCCCTGTTGTCGTATTGTCTATCCTATTGCCGTTTTACCTTAGATTATTGCCTACCCTGTTGTCGTATTGGCTGTCCTGTGGCCATTTTTACCTTTAGCTTATTGCCTCCCTTGTTGTCGTATTGTCTCTCCTGTTGCCATTTATACATAAGCTTATTACCTACCCTGTTGTCGTATTGGCTGTCCTATGGCCGTTTTTACCTTAGATTATTGCCTCCCTTGCTATCGTATTGGCTTTCCTGTTGCCGTTTATATCTTAGCTTATTACCTGCCTCCCCTGTTGTCGTATACTATCTCCACTGCCGTTTATACCTTAGCTTATGGCATCCCCTATTGTCGTATATTCTCTCCATTACCGTTTTTACCTTAGGTTATGGCATCTCCTATTGTTGTACTGGCTCTGCTGTTGCCGTTTTTACCTTAGCTTATGGCATCTCCCATTGTTGTACTTGCTGTGCTGTTGCCGTTTTTACCTAGCTTATTGCCTCCCCCTGTGGATGTATTGGCTCTGCTGTTGCTGTTTTTACCTTAGCTTATGGACTCTCTTATTGTTGTATTGGCTATCCTGTTGCCGTTTTTACATTAGCTTATTGCCTCCCCTGTGGATCTACTGCCTCTGCTGTTAGTGTATTGACTCCCCTATGGTTGTATCGCACATGACCGCTTAACAAACAGGTAATGTTGGCAATGATGAAATTGGTTCAAAAATTAGAACACTCGTCGTAGTGGCGTCCTGTAGGCAATGTGACAGTTAGTTATCGCTTCATTGGAATTTATCGAGTGCCTCTGAAGCATGGCAGCTACGTCACTCCTGCTTATAAGGATGATGCTCCGAGTGTTGTTGCGATTTCTCAGCTACAAAATTTCTGAGCCAGTAATAACATTGCCTCACTTGTTACATGTATAAACCAGGTAATAGTACGTTGGTTAATGGCAGTGATGTTCGAAAAATGTTCGGAGCCATTTATAACTGTGTCTAGTCGTTAGATTGTTTCAAATATCTGACTCACGCGTACGGCCATTCTTCTTGT